TTCGAAGGATAAGCAAGCTGAAGTGGCAATGGACTGGTCACATAGCTAACAAATTCTGCAATCTTTGAAGTAAATGAGATGACGCAATAAAAAGTTTCATACAAAAATTATGCCTCCTCAACCCCCACCTTATATAAGTTTTTCCAAAAAAAGTAGCCTTTAACAGTCTCCAGGATCAGATCTATCTTTATAACAAGATTCATCGTAGTTGATTCAACGGTTTAGGCGTGAAAAGGTAACAAACAAACCCACTTTCGCATTCATAATATTCGTATTAGTTAGGATTAGAAAAATATTATAAATATCGACCTGATCTAGGAAATGTTTAATCAAATTACTTTCAACACTGAATAAAAACAACGTTACTCTATATTAACATATTAAACTGCAAAAAGCATTATAAAAATTGGTGTAAAATAGACAACGTTAGTTGGAAGTAGTTTTTGGACTAATGTGACCAACCCAATCAATCAAAATTTCTCTGTTCATTATTCCCATTTTCAATTAAAAATGAGTCGACAAAGTAGCAAAAACTTTTGGCTCTCTCATACGTATACTCATATGGTATATGATGAATTCAGCTGTTAGGTCGGTATGGAAGGCTCTAAAATACTTGACAGGTTTTTTATAAAGATTCCACTAATCGAAATTATTTCATTGTATATATAAATAACATAATATCTACAATAGTATCACACCTAGAGTATATTTTGTAGTAAAAAATAAAAATTATCTAAACTGCATATATAGAAGCAATCGATCAGCCAAAGAGAATTCTCAATATAGATTAAAACTCTTTATAAAGAAAGACCTCGCCAGCTATAATAAATCGTGAAATCAATAGGTACTCCGGATAATAAAATCATAAGGGTCGAACTCTGTACAATGAGATTTTTTATGAAAAAATCACCGCGATCAAACGTCTAAACGGATTTCAGCGACATATTTATTTATTTATTTATTTATTTATTTATTTATTTTTTGGAAAACGTACAGCTGAATTACAGTCAATACATAATCAAATTTATATCTATGTTAAGCCATGAATCGTTTTCACATTTGCGTGATGACAATGATCGGTTTTTATATATGCAAAATACATACATACACATACATACATACATTCATACACATATATATACATACACATACACATATATACATATACACACACACACATACACATACACACGCATACATATATACATCTATAATAATTAAAAAGTTATAAATTTTGATGAGACATCCTTTAGCTTGATATATAATAACAAAACAAAAGTAATACAAAGCAAAACAACGTTACTAAAATAGTCAATTAGGTGCTCAGCAGGGCGAGAACCAAAGAATGATTTTGCCACCTGCAATTTAATTGCATGCGGCTTTGTGTGGAACAGATCAATATCATGGTCAAACAATAATTTGTTAAACTTAACTGGAGCTCTGCAGAAATATGAATTTCGCCTAAAGTTGGTTCTGTAACGCGGTACATACAAACACGGTGTTTTCCTACGATTTCTAGTAGGAACAAAAAGGTTTATATTTTGAACCAGTTCAGGACAATTAATATCACCTCTTGCGATACTGACTAGCAATATTACATCTGCTATATCCCTTCTAGTTGCAAGAGGTAAAAAATGAAATCGCTTACACCTGGATTCGTAGTTGGGATCATCAGTTCGCGCCTTGTATTGCAAGTACTTCATGAATCTCCTCTGAATGGATTCTATCCTATTAATATATACATTATAACACGGATTCCACACCTGAGAAGCGTACTCGAGTAAACTACGCACATAAGAACAATACAGAACCTTAATAGGTTTCAAACTATTGAAATTGGCGGAGGACCTAATAACAAAACCGAGCATTCTTGATGCTTTATTTACAATATTGTCAATATGAATATCGAATAGGAGTTTAGCATCATGCGTGATCCCTAGATCCCTGACATGATCAACCCTTACTAGCTGCGAACCTTTCAATGTATAATTAAATTTTAAAGGAACCGTTTTGCGCGTGTAAGAAATTATGTGACACTTGCTTATGTTCAAATCTAATTTATTAATCGTACAATATCTATCAAAATGTTTAAGGTCTTCTTGTAGATGTAGGCAGTCGCTTATGTCATGTACTCTAGCCAATATTTTCATATCATCAGCAAATAACAAGATAGTAGAGTAGTGGAAATACGACTTTATATCGTTTATAAAGATAACAAACAATAGAGGACCCAGGATCGATCCCTGCGGAACACCGGAGGGTATCCGATGCCAGCATGAGATATATCCTTTAAGGGTCACAGCCTGAGTTCTGTTGTTAATATATGATGAAAACCATCGAAAAAGGTTGCCATGAATACCGGCCAGTTGTAATTTTTGAAGAAGTATCAGATGGTCAATTCTATCGAAGCATTTACTATAATCCGTAAATATGGCATCCACCTGATCACCTATATCCATAGCTGAGGAGATATATTCATTACTTGAAAGTAAATTGGTTACTGTGGATCGCCCTTTGATAAAACCATGTTGATCTATGATAAAGGATTTGTTAAGTGCATGATAGAGTTGCCTGTGGACAATTTTTTCCAAGATTTTAGCAAAATGACATAATTTAGAGATAGGCCTAAAGTTTTCAATTTGCGATTTTGATCCTTTTTTATGTATAGGAACTATGTATGTTTTTTTCCATATATCCGGAACGATACCTTCTCTTAGCGATCTTTGGAATAGAATGGAAAGTGGTAAACATAAACTCTTAGCACAGCGAGCGATCAGCAACGGGGATACATCATCAGGGCCAGCACCCATACGTACATCAATATCATTGAGTAATTTTAAAAGTTCACTGTTATCTATCATGACATCACCAATGCCAGAGGAATCTGAGGTAAACGGTAGTGAAAGTGACAAATTGGAAGGATCAGAAGGAAGAAAGTTTGTAAGGAAACAAGAAGCAAAGCCGTCACATATTGCTTGAGCTGAATCTAACGTTTGGTTGTTGTACGTCATTATCGACGGTAAGACATTGTTATCAGTATTTAGGCTATTTATATACGTCCAAAACGATTTGGGATTTTTAACTATAGCGTTTTCAGTTTTTTGTATGAACTTATTATAACAATCACACTCAATCTTCTTCGCTCTTTTCCTTAACAAAGTAAAAGAGTGATAGTCACTTATATTACCATAATTTTTATACTTTCGCCAGTACTTGTGTTTCTCTCTAAGAATTTTTTGAGAGCAGCGCTATACCATTTTGGGAATCCGTCGTTTCTAATAATTTTTTTAGGTATATGTTTGTCCCGTAACGCATAGATGTTTTTGTAAAATAAAGTAACCGCGCTATCAAGAGGACAACTGTCCAGAATATTACACCAAGAAATGCCATCGAGTTCCGTGCAGATGGCGTCATAGTCACCCGTGTTGAAGCAGTACTTCACTCTTGAGGCACTTGGTAAATATGACACCTTTCTAATACTCAAAGATATTTGTAAGGATTTATGATGGGGATCCTCTGGTACAAGCGGTGCCAAGCAGTGTTGAACCTCAAGAAAGTCATTAGAATATACCAAATCCAAAATTCTACCACCAGAATTAAGGTGGTTGTTAAACTGGAATAAACCGCATTGGTTTATTGTATCAAAGAAGCTAACCTGACTTTCCCCTGTCATGCCAATTGGCTTTAAATTACCATCATCTTGAAGCCATCCTACGTTACTTAGATTAAAGTCGCCCATTAGTATAAATTTATCATTTATGGAGTTATTTACAATATTAAATAAGCTTTCGGAAAATAAATTTAATTGAGTGTTAAAGGAATTACCTAGATTCTGAGCACAAAGGTATAATGTACAGAGATGAATCCTGATAACTTGTGAAGAGTTTATATTTTTTAGATTAAGAGTGACCCAAATATCCTCCGCTGAGGATCGCCACTCGCATCGTTCTATCGCCGCAAATTCCCTTCGGACCGCTAGTAGTACACCCCCACCGCGATTCTGTTCCCTCAGAACATAGTCACGGTCACGTCTCCAAACCAAATATCTATCATCAAAGAGCTCCCCATCCTTTATCCCCTCCAATAGCCAAGTTTCTGTGATAGAAATCACGTCATAGTTGTTAAGCATTAGGTTCCTCTTAAATGTGCTAGTCTTACTGCGTAGGCCGCGAGCGTTCTGATAATAAATATTAAGTGTTACGGTGAATGATAAATAAAATAATTATATAACAATAAGAATAAAATAAATGTATATGTTTTCACTTGATGTGTTAATATTGAATAAATTACGATGAAAGGGATAGAACTACCATTAATATTATAAATATAGTTGTATAAAAACAATGTACAAGCATTGTCAGCGGGCGTCCAGGTACAATGAAATAAGTAATAATAATAAAAGTAGTATTCTGAATACATTATTGACAGTCCCTTATCTAGGTAGATACTACACAAATCACTGAAATGACTTAAGGTTAATAATTCACTAATTAAAATACCTAAATAATCGTAAGTATAACCATTTAAAAATAGAATTATTGACATTTCCTGGTTATTTGACGGTAGTCCGTGTTGTAGTTTGCTATCGAGCATAACTATACCGCCACACATTTCATAATCGCTATAGTACGAGTAAAATAATAGTTTAAATAAAAATCCTAACAATACCTGCACATTATCATAAAGTTTCACATTTGTTACTAAGAGTCTCAGTAAAGTAAATAAAACGTCGATGCAAGCGTTCTCGTAATATGCATAATGGTCACTATGTTGCAAGACCACTGATAACCACACAAACCGCATGACAAACAACAACATATAGCAAGTGTATCCATACACAAAACAAAACACACATTTTAAAAATGATGCTGACAGATATGCACCGAGTACATTAGAATTACGTTGGCACACGATAAGAGTACAAAAACAAGTACCAACGGTTCTCAACCTGTCGCCATGCCACACCAAATACATACAAATGACTTCATCACTAAATGTAAACAATAATGATATATATGCAAACACAATATAAAAAATAGTAATTAGGTTAATTTTAGAAGATCGCCTGCAGACTTGATGACGATTATTGGAGATGTTGGCGACTTTCTCACCATTATTTTCGAATGCTTTACCCATACGTATTGAAATTTTTTATCGTGAGCGATACTTTTGGTCTTTGATAGGAGTTGTTTGTTCTCAACGGTTAAATGGTCGCCAACATAGAAACGCCCATCACCAGCAAATCCAAGCGAGTTCAGGTTTAAGTGTTTCATCCTTCGTACTGCAGCAACATAATTATCCTTAATATACCTGTTATTAAGTGCCATAACAATTGACTTAGGCCCATTATTTTGTCGAGAAGGTACTCTAGTGATGAAGTTAATATCACACTTATTTATCTCATAGTCTGCAACATTGCCTATTTTCATTGCAATATCAAACAAATTTTCGTTATTCTTTTGCGGTACACCTCTAATCTCGACATTATTTGCTCGCGACCATTGTTCCTTGTCATTAAGCAGCTGATTAATTCTTGTTATATCGGCCTCCAATTTAGAGATATACTCAGTTTTGTCTTCAACTACCCTCAATCTAGTTTCTAGAGAATTTATTGTTGTAGAATAATCCTTAATTGATTCATGAGCCATTTCAATTGATTTTTGAAGGCTTGTTACATCAGATTTGATTACCTTGACATCATTTTGCAAATTTGTCACATCGGATTTGATTGTTTTAACATCCGCGATTAATGATGCTAGAGGTGACAGCTGCAATGAGATTTTTTTGAGTTCTTCATGTAGAGTTTCAATCGAGGGCACTGATGGTGATTGGGCCCTTGATGATGGAGCGGAAGGCGTATTAGTTTTACATTCGGTACAACGCCAGAAATGTCTTCTTTCTCCGAGCTTACGGTATCCACTCTCTGTGATTCCAGCACATGGAAAATCAAATCGACGTTTGCAGACACTACAAAGAGTTCCATCGGTAGACTGAAGATTGCATCTTGCACAGGGAAACATTTTGCAGAGTTGAGTGTTTATTGTTATTCACACTCAACAATTTGAACACCACTGGGTATTATTGAGAACGGAGGGTAGTTACTTATTTAATATGTCTATTGATACACTGATTGAACACTGTTTTATATGTTTAATGGTATGAGACGACCTATATTTTTATTATAAAGTACAAAGTCTCACTTTACTAATAAGATAAATCAAATTATGAATGGTTTAAAGGATTTTGGCATCGAATTTACAAAATAAATACAATAAACGGTGAAAGTCGACCAAACCGAACAGTTATTTTTTGACATATTACATTTACTTTATAATGGTCCATAATACAGTACATAATATACATACCTAATTAAGTAAGTATTAGTTTAATTTAAAATCTGTTCACTTATCACAATCGATCGAATGCAAATGATATGTAGCTTAATAAATTGAGAGACTATTGCATGAATATGTTAAGAATAAAGTCTTGCTCTATACTCGTATAGTGTTAGTATCAAACAATCTATTAAATACGTTTTTACGATCTTAATAAAAACAAGAAAGATGCGGCCGCAACCACAATATTGTAACTGCGGGCATTATATTTTATTTAATAATTTAATGACGATTAATAATCATTCTTATCTTTTATTATTATATCAGCCGTTAACTCTCCACTGCTGAATTTAGACCTAGAATAGAGAACTATTGGTGGTGATAGTAGTTGCCACGATTGGCACGTGGATTGTCGACCGTGGTTAAGCTTTATCTTAAGTGATATATTAAAAGGGACACTGCTGCCCATCCCATAACTACTAAGCTCCCTTAGTTTCCTCTTACGACACCCACAGAAAAGGAAGGGGTGGCCCATTCTATGCCGCGATATTCTATGGTCCCGGCATAGAATGGGCAATTCATTAATTTTTATTTATTTATTTATAGCCGTCCTTTATCATTATGCTTATACAAGTACCTTAAATTTGATAAATCTAAATATAATCTCATTTGCCCTAAAACATCTTCGTAGAATATCTTAATTTTAAATATAATGAGCTCAATTAAAGTGGTGTTTCTTGTCAAAATTTTATTATCGATATACCATATTATACAAACAGCAAACTGTAAAAATAAAGTAAGACTGTTTGTATGGCTACGTCGTTACTTTGTGGAATGATTGTAATCATCCTGAGGGTGACCGCTCAAGAATAGCTGCGACAAAGAAACGGCCATTACCACGCGCCTTGAAATTGCTACATGTTCAACAAAGGAATGCTGTATCACGTATATTCAATTATTAAAAAGGTTGAAAGACTTGTTTGTAATATTATGTATCTTGAAGCTTTGCCCATACTCGGACCTTGTTTGTTAAAAGCTTTGTGTATGATGTAGCAAAGTTTCCTTGAAATTTCTTATCGGCTCGTTCAAATTGATTTTTTTTTTTCAATCAGTTCAATGTTCTTATTTCAATCCAGGTCTGACATTAAAAAATTAAAATTTCATTGCGTACTTCGCTTAACAACTAACTATTGATTACTTACAAAGGCCATTTACATACTTAAGTTTTCTCTAGGGAACTGTACATTGGTGAGACTTATAAAATATTTGTTCAAGGGACTCGTCTACAAAGCTCTTATAGTTTTATTTATACTACTAAAGACAAGCTTTACTTACAAGATGAGAATTTTAAATGATGATTGTAAAAATTATTTTGCCTTGCTATCTATTCAGTGTTCTGGATTTAATTATTTGTCTTTGAAAGAAATACTTATTCTTTTATATTTTAAGATTTGAAATTGGTGCTCTTTTACATATTTTTTTAGAGACTGCCTTTCTTGATAATTGCAATAAGATGTGAATACATACATTTTGAATTAAGATATAATTTAATCATCATCATCTAATCATTGAATTTACTTGAATAAAAATTATTTATTATCATTATTATTATTAAGGCTTTAAATTTTTCTATAATATATTAGACGTAAATTATTAGATGTATTATTATTTTTATTTCAGTGAGTGTATTACCATTACAATACAATCACTCTCTCTTCAGAAAGTTTCCGATCAATCGAACTATTATCAAGTTACGTGTGATGAATAGCGCTTTCAGTAAACGAAATCGATGAGAAATAGTTGACTTTTCTCATCGATGCCACAATGCTCGTCAGTTGTCGGCTTGAATAGATATTCGACGTGAGGTAAAATCTTTGAGGGCGTCGAATAGCAAACGTTTGCAAAAGGCTTTTTAGAGGCAGGTCGCGCGGTCCGGTTCGCTTAGGTCCGATTGATTCGCCGGAGTATGGTTCAATAATTCAGTTGACCGCTCGTGTAGAGGGGACATAGTAATATATCTACTCGTACCTGAAGTTGCATCCTTTCTATATTACACACAATGGTGAATAAACAATGTCGACATCGAATTGTGTCAAAATTGCGGTTGGTTTATAGCGCCTTCTGTGAAAAGTGTTAGTTCAATATATTCATTGTGTTTAAAAAAGAACTAATAAATATTTATTGAAGTTGTTCAGTACTAGCAATAAAACCACACTGACGTTTTGTTTTGTAAAAGAAAGAAACTTTTATAATGAACTAATAATAAAATAAAAACTTTATTAATGTAAACCAATGACTTATTGATTAATATCATATACATATCATAGACAGAATAGACGATAGGTATCTATCTAATAATTCATATTTTAAAACCTTCATTATGAATAATATAGGTAGTGTTATGCTGAAACACGGGAAAGTTGCTGAAGTAAGTACATAATACCTACTGCTCGTTACTTCATTGCGAAATCCCGCGGTACAGCGGCTTATCACCAGAATTTATATATTTTGCATCAATAAACCATTCCAAACATTTCATATATATTGATATCAAGCTTAGTACGATTACAATGCGAGAGAACTGTTACATTTTGGTGCTACTTTATTTGATAATTTGTTCAAACCATGTTGTTTTATCAGGAGAAGAATCGGCTGACAGTGGCAGTGACCTGGGATCAAACCTGATAACAAGTTTAAGAAACGATGCAAATTTAGATCTGTCTGTAGATGAAGAATATGAAGACTTGAGGGCGGAATTATTGGCTTATCATACTGCGCTCTCAAGTCTCGTTTCAGAATCTCGCAGTGAGTGTAGATAACACATTATAATTTTTATCAATTACATTTTACTCTAAAATAAAACAATATTAATTAGACCAAAACATCAATAAACGACTAGATATTTTGTAAACATATTAGATTGAAAACATTTAAATCTAATATTTAATTCGCAGCAAACAGTTTTTGCTCTGTATAGAAAACTTTTAATAATTACAAAATTAACATAAAACCAACATGGAAGTAAGTCTATCGATTTTCAAATATTGTCAACAGATTGATCCACAATTTGTCTGTATTTTTCAACTGACTTAAAAAATAAGGAGGTTCTCAATTCGATTTAGAATTTTTTATGATTGTACTTCATAATTCTTTCATTTCATTACTCCGTCAGGTGTAAACCAATTTCGAAAATCTTTTTTATTTGAAAGGATATAAAAGATAGAAATTTATTAAAATCAATTCAATAGTTTAGTATTGAAATTAAAATGACTGGTTTTGCCACAACTGAAGTCGGTTTTTTTATGAAACACAATCTTAATTTTCTTTTTAAGTCAACTTTCTCGGATCTAGATACTAAAACATTATTAAAAATAACAAACCGTCCACAGTCAAGTTACAAGCTGTCTACAGTGAAGTAATAAGAGCATTATATTATCATTTGATTTATAGTTTTTAACCGGTACCATAAGAAAAACTAAGTTGTTACTGTATTATTTGCAAATTCATTTACTCTTCACGTCCCTTCTATTCCATTCTAGTTCTCTTTCCTCCTAGTAAGACACGATTGTTCAAAATTTTACCTTAAACATGCCTAATACATTTTTGTGCAAATAATTATATTTAAATAAGCAATAGTAATGACTTTATCAATACTGTGGTCGTGAATTGTACCGGTTACTGTCACCACGTCGTTAAATACACTCGTAAATAACCTTATAACTTATAGGTTATAATTTTAAAAGCCATCAATGTTCAAACCGTAGACGTAGATTTGAATAGATATCACTAAATGTATTTAGCGTGTAAATTTTTGTCCATAATTCAGATTCAATAGTTCCGACCTGATTATTCGAGTCGGAGTTCTTATATAAAATTTATATTAAAAAAGTTTTTAATAAAGACGACATTAGTACGAGATGGGGTTTACTAACATATCTATAGCACGCTTAGTTTTCATACAAATAATATTTACGACGTCTATTACTAGCAATGTCTTAAGCTATTTTTGCAAAGGTTTTACAAAGAAACTTTAATTCTATAAAGAGGACATGAAAAGTATACATCATTTACTAGTAAAAAATATGGATACTGACTATAGGCTGATATGTCACACTACGGAAAACTAGATAATGTACTCTCCTATAGACATGAATAACATAATTACATCATAGAATATCATACGTCGCCTATGATAAGGAATCATAGACGACGCATGATGATCATACATTTCCACTTTTACACACATGCTACTTTTATTAGAGATTGTACTGGCTTTAGATTGAAAACCAACGACGTAATTGTAGTAGATATAGCTAAAACCATTGTACCTCCGTCTATATATTTCCATAAATTTTATCTTCGTTCCTTACGGAGCAACTAGAAGTAACCAAGTGCTAAATGTTTCTATCCTTACTACATCACTTGCCCTATTGGTTAATTTATTTATATACTCTTTATTGTGCCAGGTAAAGAATAATACATACGTATAACACAAAAAATCTCTCGACTTTCTCAAACTGTACACGGACTGACTATCAAAATTATTTATTTATTTACTCTTTATTGCACCACTTAAAGAATAATACAAAGAGATATATAGGTATATATTACCCTTATGAAATACACAAGGCGATCTTATCGCTAAAACAATCTCTTCCAGACAATCTCTGGGTAGAGGAGAAGAGAAAAAAGTATATAATTAAATAAAATTATAATATACTTTATTTAGAAACAAATAATCAGAGCACATGAGCAATTAATCATAATATAAATATTAGATCGACTAATTTGAACATTCCGCAACATAATTGTAAGTAAATATCAACTCATAACAAGTACACGTACCCACCTATATTATATTATCCATAATAACACCACCCCCGTATTACACGCTTACCTATGAACCCTGGGGATATTAGTGTAAATCCCAAACTAAATTATTATTACAAACGTGTGTTCAAGGGTCGATGATAACTACACCTTGCTGGCAACTCGGCGGAATTTGTATCAACGTAAATCTCTGCCCGGGATTCAACTATCTCACTGAAGTACCTGGCTGCAAAGATACACTTAGAGTATGCTGTTTCGTCTGGAACCGTTATAACATTAAAGGCTCATTGCCAAGGGTAAAACAAATAGATTTTGGTGGTAAAGGTGTCCTAGACATTAGCACAACTAAAAAGAGAAGACGTCCAAACGTCAACTAAGGCTGAATTACCAAGAATGTTAATAATACGTGCGAATAAATAAATGTTTTAAGCAATAAATAATTCTAACAAACAAGTAATTTTTCCATAAAATTTCCTTTACTTGTACGTTATATGTTACGGTACCGTAGGTAGAAATCTTTATCTATGACATGCTATGCTACGGGCAATTTAAAAAGTAAATTATAAAGCTGTATTCCGCATATATCGTTTTCATTTCTAGTTTACTATTCATAATTTGTATTGTTATTTTTGAAATGGTATTGTGAGTAAAATGTATTATAATTATAGCTCTATTAAATACAATTAGTATACAAATAGATATAGAATGAATATCGACATTACCAAGATTATTATTATAATTATTTATTCATTAGTACAAATATGTGTACATGGCGGACTTAATGCTAAAAGCATTCTCTCCCAGTCAACCATAGGGAAGTGTCAGAATACTCGAATGCGGTACTACTAATTATTGATATACATACATACTAAAATTACATATATAAACGAATAAATATATATGAATAACAAATATACTTACACATATATGATATATACTATATTATCGAATTTGGGAATAATATGCTCGGATAAAAATAAAAAGTGAGCTTTTTTTGAAAATTTGTACTCTCTTAATGGCATCAGGAAGCGTGTTCCAGAGTCGTGAAGAATGTAGGAGGAAAGAGTTTGAAGAGTAAACAGTACGGTGAGAAGGGAAAGATAATTGGAATATTATTATAATTCAAAAAGATAATGGAATTTACTCCTTAAGTAGTTAAGATACAATTAGTAGTTCTAACGTTGAAATAGATATACCGATATAAAGAAATGTGATCGAATTTGCGGAGGTTGAAGATAAAGCGTATGGCATGGTTGAGGAGACGGTACTTACCTGGTACTTACGTGTATAAGAATGTGTTTGTTGATAGTAACAATAAAAAACCTACGTTTGGTTAGTTTTTATAATTATATTTCTAATTTTGATAGTTACAATATCTTATCATTTATTACTAAAATATATAAAAACGAGAAACAGGAATGATATTCCTAACAATTCTGTTCTTTAAAAATAATGGACCATATTCACATGTCATTGTATCTTAAACGATAATGTAAAAAAAATTTGCATTTCACTCAACCAGATTATAAAAGAAATATAATACATTTTTAATTCATTTAAAATTGTATATTAGGAACAACTAGCGCCACCTGCTGGGCTCGTGGGGGTATATTCACAAACATCAGTCATTGTCCGGATTTAAAGATAGACATTAGTGTAGCCGACTGTGTTTGGAGCTTCAAAATATCCAAAGTATTCAAATTCGGCTCCCCAACAATCAGTATCAAGACAAAAAATAGTGAAATATTAGTATTTTCATCAGATTTTCGTGAACTTAACGAAGAGGCGATAAAAACACTTGCTGTAAAGAATACCTATTTATTACTACATAAAAATTAAAATCTGTTGTACTATTTATTATCAAGTATACTTTCTTCCACGTACAACCACGCTTTGAAATAAACTTTCTGCAGCAGTGTTTCCGAACTTATACGACATCGTAACCTTCAACAGAAGAGCATATTATTTTTGTCAGTGGGCACACCTGTTATTTCTCCGGTGTTACGAGTGCTCACGGGTGACGGTAGTAATTTTTTTAATTGCGACTTAAAATTGCAAACAAACTGACAGCCCACCTGATAGAAAGTGATATCCGTCTCCTATAAACATGAGCAGTACCATGGGCATAACAAAGTATACCGTTTCTCCCATGAATGTCGTCATTCCTGAGGACTCAAGTGTTATAGTAATAATACCTGTTAGTAATAATACCTGTTATAGTAATAATACCTGTTAGGTAGGTGAATTTACAGGATACAGAGGACTGTATCCTGTAAATTTACTGCCATATCTCACCCTTCAAATCGAAACACTTGTAACTTTTGTATAAAGTCTCCCTCTGGTAGTAATTTGCTATCAGATAAACCACATGCTCGTTTACCTCCGGTGTTATAAAAAAGTATACCTACCTGAAAGTACTCGTAAAATTTAGCACTGATTTTTCGGTTTTAAAATAACCTGCCTTCCAACTCAAATAAAACGTTTGTCAAAAATGACGTTTGGTTAAGATGTCAAAGAGCAAAAGGGTAACAAACAAATATAATATTAATAACAATATTTTGTATGCTAACCTACTAACCTTTCAAAGGTATATCTTACCTTAACAACCCATTAAGGAGCTACTACTGGGATCGAATCATCCCATAAGAGGAGGATACTATTACCAAACCGGCAGTATGACTTAGTAAAGAATTTTATACCAAGGTTTTCATTTTGTTTACTGTTGTACATTTACTTCTTAAAACATCGTAGGAAAGTAAATTATTACTTTTCTACGTTATCACGCATTTTTATCATTTTTTATTTTTAAACTACAAAAATCCTTTATTACGAATCAAGGTAAAACCGTAAATTCAAACAAAGAACATTCAGAGAGTACACTCAAGTTAGCATTTAGAAATATTTAGTAAAAGAGGCTGTCTAAATTAGATCGTGTCTACCTAGACTGAAATCGTGTATAAAATCTTAATTAACCAGAGAAAGACTTTATACAAAAGTCGTCTGCTTGGGTATGTATGTCCCATTTGTGTTTGTGGCGTGAAGCAGCTGTGTTCGCATGGCTGTGTTTTGAAGATCTCACTTATATATTATAGCAATGAAATTACAGGATGCAGAGGCATAATACCTTAGCTCTCAAGAATGACAACGCATGAGGAGTATCATACACAGTATACTCTGTTGTGTTCATTACTGTTCATATCTATAGGCGGCGATTAGTGCTTATTATCAGGTAAGATGTTTGCCATTCTAAGTTGCATAAAAAATTAAGTAAAACAATTTAGGTACCTCTTAATAAAGCACTTCACTTTGAAAATCGATAATAATATATTCTGTCTGTGTGTCATTTCATGTGAATATGAAATTCGAAATAATGGTATCCACAAAAAATTTAGATATCGGATTATTATAAACTTCTTTGTGACTTTGTACAAAAAAGCTGAGTACTTCTACCTCACTATGTCCGCAGCCAAGCAGCTGTACTTGCATGGCTGTGTTTTATTTCAAATAGCAGTATATAATAATGACAAGTATAATAGTGTGTAATCACTACTGTACGAAGGCTAAATATTTTAGCTTAAAAGTAGCAATAAAGCAGGCATACTATGGACGAAACAATGCATTCTGGTAGTTTCCGGTTATCACTTTTTCATCAACACATTAGCTTGTCTGACATTGTACACTTTCTATTTTTACCACTGAAATTTACAATAATAATAATAAATAGATAATATCATTCTCATTTGACTTTATTTTCATGCATTCTTTACAAAAACCTTGCATAAAATAATTGAATTGCGCGGTGTAAAGCCAAAGTGAGCGAGCACTCTAGATAATAAGGATTCTTCATTCCAAGAAGGCCCGTTAGTTTGAATACGAGCCAAATTAGTTCACCTTTGCTTTCTCGGTTACCATCGTTCGTTGCTAGCGGAATATGTCACTCTCTATTAATAACGAACCACAAAATTAACACTACATTGGATGAGACACACTTAAATATCCAAAATCAATAGTAATTAAATGCAACTTTCTAAATTATATAATAACACAATTTTGTTTATATGACAATTTTTTAATGTTTTATATTTAAATCTTTCTCTTCTTCTTAAGCATTCTTAAATTCACATCTAGACTGTTTTGTTATTTTTATTATTTTACATATAAATTAGTCATAAAGCTCAAAAGAAAAAAAGAAATTATACTTTGAAATTTATCCTTACTAATAAATATTAATACTTCAAGCCTAAGTACATTAAGTAGGTACGACATTAAGTGCATATTAAGACCTACCTGTGACAATTACTCCTTAACTGGACGGTAGTCTATATCTTAGAGGCAGAAGCTAACAGATTGTTGATTTCACCAGATTATGTTGTGAAATAATGACAAAAGCAATTGACGTGTATGTAACTGTAGCGTGTCTAGAGTACAGCGAGTATTGAATATGATAGTAGTAATCCTTTTAAAACGAATTTTATTTATTTATTAAATAAATTTATTATTTATAAATTTTATTGCATATCTGCAGATTAAAATATTATATGCATTGTATTGTCCTTATATTCAGCCATAAGAAATTTTGACTTATAAGATATTCCAATCATATCCAACATATAAATAATAAATTTAAGAATCACTTGAAATTAATTGATAAATATAAAACCGTCTCAACTACGACTATATTACAAACTCTGGATATATTTGAGCCCGATTCCAAGTAGCGCTATGAAAAACAAATGCAGTGCCATCCGCATATGTTACATATTATAAATGTGAAAATGAGTTTGTTTGCTGGTTACCTCTCAACAGTACACGGCTTAACGACTCAACTGATATAAAAAAAAATGATATACGAACAGTATTTGAAATGAAGAAGAGCATAAGCTACTTTTTATTCCAGAAAATCAAAGTATTTCCACGCTAATACAGTTGCTAATAAAAGTTAGTTCTATAATATTTCAACAGTTCTTTAAATTAGTTTATGAGCTACGAATAAATAACCAACTTTTTATTGAATTGTACTTTTTTTTATCCTTTAATTCGTCTATATTTATTTTGTTTATGTTACTTGTATATAAATATCTTCTGCTAACTCAAAGTATATAGTCGGTATATACACAATAATTTTATGCATATTTATTCAGCTGTAAATGCGTTATTAAATTAAAACATGTCTACAAACATTCACATTAGTATTCCACCCTAATCCATTTATATGATTTTGTAAATAAACTCACCTACTATATCTGAGTTTATTCATAAAATTACATACACTTCTAGAGTCCATTTGTACTAAAACCTTAATAATGAACTTGAATTATTCACTAAATAAAAATTTTAACTGTTATTCATAATGAAGTTCTCAGCTTGCACTGAAAATCCTCTGGGTAATCCTATACCCTATAGAATATGAGATGGAAACATAAAATGTTAACTCATTTGAATGTTGAA